TGTGTGTATGGATTGGGATAACAGTTGTATGAGCCTCTAATAAAATGTTAAAAGAAAAAATTACTTCGGTTGCTATTAACCTGCCCCAGCATTTCTAGAACTCATTTTGTTACAAGATCAAAGTCCAGCATCAAGTACATATTTTGTTTAATACTTTTATTGGGGGCTCTTACATCCCTTATCACAATCCATACATTCATTCAGTGTGTCAAGCACATTTGCACGTATGCTGCCATCATCATTTCTCATGAAGTACCTATGTCAGTTTACTGGAAGCAGTAAGGAGAAGAAACTAAATCTTTCATTTGTACTAAGTAAAGTAGAAGAGCAATTAGCATAATATAAATGTCCCTTTCTCACTTTATAGTAATTCATAGAATTAACATTGCAAAAGAAAACAAAAACTAAAGCTAATAAGTTCTGTCTGACTGAAGAGAAAGACTAATTTGGTGCCAGAAATTGCTACGCAAGCATGTTAGGTCTTATACATATGTGTGTACCTGCCTTCCTCAGCATATGTAGGTTAATTTTCTTATTGAATCTTTTAAAAATATTAAGGAAAATTATCATTAAATCCTGTCTCTCCTCACATTATATTTTTGTATTCCAATTGCTTGGATGGGGAAGAGATATCTACTGTGATCTTGTTTATAATCAAAGTATTGCTACAACCTGATAGAAATATATTCCCAAACTTTATCTTAGTAACTCTATCATTTCAAACACTGAGGTAGCTTTTCTTCTCTCTCTCTATTTCTGAATATCTAGATAATTCACCTGTGTATTACCGCACTGCTTGAGGAAAATAACAATCATTAAAGTAGGAGTAATGGCAGAGCAGTGGTAGGATTTTGTAGGCATCCTGGATTCACTTTCCATTCAGTGCACTTCATGCATAGCCACCACCTATCTGTCACCAGAGTCTTAGATGTTGCTCTGTTACGTGAACAGTTTTCAGCAGAGCTTCTAGACTGAGATGGTCTGGAAAGACTGACCTGGCAATATACAAGGGTATCTTAATTATGGAGTGCTGCTATAACAGAAATAACACAGGTGAGTGGCTTTAATAAACAGACATTTTGAGTATTAAGTCTAAATTCACAACCCCAGCTAGCTCGCTCATTCTCACTCCCCGCCCTCACTCCCCCTCCTGGCACTTCTTTCTTAGTAGAAGTAGATCCATTCCCTTGTCCTGTGTCCCTTACCCCAGCTTGCTTCTCTCTTGTCTGTGAGATTAGAGGTGTTACAAGTCACACCTCCCGGGAAGCACACCTTTCATTGGATCAGTGTTGTAATGAGATTAAGGATGGTGCATCCCTCCTTAATCAATTGATTGGAGGGATCACATCATGGAGGGATCATTACGTAATTGGCAAAGCATTACATAACTGCTATGTTTAATCTGTGTTACAGAGGGTGAGTCAAAAAGTATGGCAGCATAGTAGAGCCTAGGAATTTTTTTGGTTTTTTCCTCATAAAGGCAATGTACCTACTCATTCTTTGAGGGTAGCAAGGGCGATCCTAGGAGAATTTCCTTGGAAAACCTTACCCCTTCCAGCTCTTGCTCCTTCAGACTTCTTTTTGTTCCCAAACACAGGGAACATAAAAGCAGATGATTGGAGTCAGGCCCTCAAGTTTTCCAAAACTAATGTTTTGCTTTGGTGTAAATTGAACACCTAAAAAACCTTGAGGGGGAGCGTTACAGACATGAAAGCACTCTGTAAATTTAGAGATGTAAGAGGATATATCAAGATACAATAGCTTTACATTGTGATATATTTTTAAATAAAGATTTCTGTGATTTTTGTTTAGGGAGCCCTGGTGACATAATGGTTATGTATTGGGCTGCTAACCACAAGGTTAAGAATTCAAAACCTACAGTTGCCCTCCAGATAAAAGATGAGGCTTCTTATGCCCATGAAGAGTTAACAGCCTCAGAAGGTCCTAGGGGCAGGTTGCTCTGAGTTGAAATTGACTTGAAGACAGTGAATTTGAGTTTGAGATGATTTTGTAGACGTGCTTCTTGACTTACCCTTGTACTTCCTGAAATTGTCTCCAGACAATGGAAACCTTATGGATCACAATCAGCTGATTTGCAATCACCCATGAGGATTGTACATAACGGAGCAACATTTCATTCCATTGTGTGGCGCTCACTTTGAATTGGGGACCAACTTGAGTACTGAGAACAACAGTGTTACCAGTGTAATGTTTCAATGAATTAATGAGATATTCAGAGTAGAGAAAGCTTAGTTTCAGATAAAATAAGTTTTCATCTCTATAGTCTAACCTTTCTTCTCTTCAACAAAACAAATAGTGCAGTTATGTTTATAAACCAAAATTACATATGACCTTTTTTCATCAGTTGAATTCAAACACAGCCTACTTTATCTCCAGGCTGAGACCATGCGTCTTCCAGCACAGCAGCTACTACATGGTAGATGGTGAGCAATGACGTAGTAAAGTGGGAGGAAGCTGGGGAAGATTTTATATTCGGGAAAAATAGACGTCAGTTATCATTTGTCATATGCAGAGCCCTCTAACCTTGTGACAATACGCACTGTGGCAGGCACACTTTCCTATTGGAGTTGGAGTGTCTCTGTGACGTTTCTTTAAACATGAAAAAAGTGAACAATTAATTATGTATTGTCCAAGGAGAGGAATAAGTTCAAGAATATGTCAAATTAATTTTATTTAACTGTACACAGATAGTTATGAACAAGGACTTAACC